GAGTTGATGTTAAGACTGAATGAATGGAGTTTGTTGTTATCTTTTCCATCTCTTAAAATATGATATAAAATACGTGAATTATCTCCCTCATCCCGGTCTGATGCCCGCACAGAAAACACTGAAGCTCCTGGAGAGTTGTTCTCGGTAACATAATATGTGTAAGGGCTTCCTGAAAATTCTGGGCTGTTATCATTCACATCTGATACAACAATAGTCATGCTTTTTTTTGAAGACAATGATGGTACACCCGCATCTTTTGCAACAATTGTAACATCATATATGGACTGCTTTTCTCTATCCAGGGGTGATTTTGTGACGATAGAATACATATTGTCTTGTGTTGAAGGGGATAATATAAACGGAACGTCCTCATTGAAGGAGCAAATAACTTTTCCGTTCACACCAGAGTCTTTATCGAGAACACTGATTAATGCCACAGTGGTTCCTAGCCTTGCATCCTCTGGTATTGCTCTTGCAAATGATGTAATCTCTATTTGAGGGGTGTTATCATTCAAATCTACAATATTCACTAACACACTTTTGTCTGTCCTCAAAGGAGCCGCTCCTTTATCAGACGCCTGTATGTCTATTTCATAACTTTCCTCTAATTCAAAGTCTATCAGACCTTGAACAATAATTTCACCTGTATTTGCATCTATACGAAAAAGTTCACGTATTCTGCTGTTCACATTCTTTCCTAATGAATACATGATCTCTCCATTGGATCCCTCATCTAAATCAGAAGCATTTACTTTTATAATTGTTGTGCCAATGGGAGCATTTTCTTCCAAAAGTACAGAGTACGTGTCTTTGTCGAAAACTGGCATATTGTCATTGATATCTAAGACGTCAACCGTAATTTCAGCTGTTCCAGATTTACTTGGTTTCCCTCCATCAATAGCTGTAAGAAGCAGCTTATGACTGTTCTTTGTTTCCCTATCTAGCGTCTTAAGTAAAACTAATATCGGTATCTTCCCATCTTTTCCACGATCTTTGACTTCCAAACGAAAATGATCATTAGGACTTAGTTTATACTCCTGTACCGAAAACTGACCAACATCAGGATCGTGTGCTGCTTGCAGCTGGAGGCGCAAGCCTGGTAAAACCGACTCTGAAATTTCGAGACGTGACTCGTTCGTTGAGAAGGTGGGAGAGTGGTCGTTCACATCCAGCACCTCAACAGTCACATAATGAATTTCAAGAGGGTTTTCCAGCACAGTTTTTAGGTTGATCAAACACGCATTGCCTCGCTCACAAACCTTCTCCCTGTCAATTATTCGATCAACATACAACATTCCGTCGTTCTGGTTTACATGAAAAAATGACTCTGTTGCACCCTCAACAATACGGCATCCTCTCTCCTTCAATGTGCTCTTCTCTAATCCCAAATCCTTCGCTATATTCCCAACAACCGTTCCTTCTTTGACTTCCTCAGCGATGGAGTATCTTATCTGCGCCGAAGCTCTGCTCCAAAGCAAAATGAATGAAACAATGAAGGCAGTCCACCGACATTGCCCTCGCGATGTTCCAAGTCCTTTCTGCTCCATAACCAGTTAATAAAAATGTATCCCGATGAGTCAAAATAACGTTGCCTTCATCAAAAGAAGTATGGATCCACTAAAAACAATATGTACAGTTTCCAGAGTATTTTAAAATCACAGATGCTGAATATTCGGCGTGAGAGTACAGGATGCATCCACTGCTGAAATATAAAAACCCATCCCACAAAGGGGAGGACGCATATCTCTGACAAAAGGCTTCTCATGAAACTCTTTTCTGCTCACACACTGACACCAAGTGACCACTTTCCACTGATTGTGTTCCTCCACAAATATAAGAGTTTACGGTTTAACCTTTTTAAAATATCAATCGTGATTTCATTACGGAATATGGATAGTACAAACTATATAGCTTATGGCTTTATAAAACATAATGACAGCGAAAAATGTGGTTTCAGCACAATGGATAGCGACATTATAAGTCAGACTGGCCTGTAGGTTCATTCAAAGAACATTTATTTAATCACAAAACAAGACATGTCTGTGTGCTAGTACCCCAGTTGAACCGCAAGGCCTATACAAATAGGTATATGAAGAAATAAACCAAAGTTTCCGCGACGGAAACCAGCTTACCTCTCCAGATGCCTGTCTCCTGTCAGGGAGCACCAGAGTGTTCGCGTGGCTTCCCGGTACTATAGTAGATCCTACACTCATTCTGGGTCCAACTAACATGTAGCG